TTTGAGTTGGATTTTTGCCAAGAGAGGCGTGAGTGTTGAAGGTTGTGTGCCGAAGCCGGTGGGCAAGATGGTGTTGGATGCTATCAATCTGTGAAGTTGCAACTTGTTTCAGTTGGACGACGGTGAATACATCACTCTGGAAGAGGTTTCTAGGAAGACCTCTGAAGAAAGAGATGAGTTGGTTGCAGAGCTTGAGATCCCTGTTGGAAAGTTGAACCTCGCAGTTCAGAGCCTAGGAGGTGATATGGAGGATAAAGAAGAAGAAGGCCATGAAGAAGAGGTGGAAGCGGAAGAAGCTGCCGAGGTTGAGGAAAGCGATCCGGAAAGTGAAGAAAACTGAAGAAGAAGAGAAGCCCGAACCAAGAGAGAGCACGATGCTGTGACGCACGAGGAGCGTGTGGTCACCCTTTTACGTCAGCAGAACCAGATGATCGAAGAAGGTTTCGTTTTTATGAAGACGCAGTTTGTTGCCGTCCACCAAAGGTTAGATTAGATAGAGGCCAGCTCAAGCCGAAGAGGAGATGGTGACGAGGAGTCCGAGGAAGATACCGATGAATCGGAGAGTGAGTCGTTCTAGCGCGGTGTTGTGGTAATCCTGCTCACCTTTCCTTAGCTTGCTGTTATCTTTCAAGTTGTTGTTACCGTTGCTAGTTGCTTGTTGTTTACCTTGTGTGCTCGTTTTTGCTTGCTTGTTGGGATGAGTAGTTAGCTTTGTGGCTTGTGCTAGGAGCTAGTTGTTTAGATCTTGGGTGTTGAATAGAAGTTGGTGGTTGTGTTTTGTTTAGAGTTTGATATGCTCAATATCTCCGTTGATTATTTCTTTCAATCCTTGCAATGCTATTACTTCTTGCTTATTCTTGATATCTTTTGAATCCTTTGAGTTTGATCAAAAAGGGATGTTCTTGACATTCTTGTCACATTGTTGTTCCATTTCATCGTTTGTTTTAATTCGTTGTACCTAAGCTTCGGGGACGAAGCTTCTTTTAAGGGGGAGGGGATGTGACACCCCGTAATCCAAATTCAATTAAGGGATTAATTAAGTAATTAATCATAAACCAATTGATAATTTAATTCCTTAAATTCCTAAAAATTCAATAGTCGGGGACTAGTAATTGACTAGTCAACCCAAAGTCAAGTGTTGTACCTAAAGCTTTGTGAATAGTTCCCTTGTTCCCTTACACCTCTTCATTTTAGTAAGGGTAAATTGGACATTTACTTTATGATTGCATTCCAAGCTAACCTAGAAGATATCTTTCATTTCTATCCTTACACTTTCAAAGCAAAGAGCTCTTCCTTCTCTCTAAAAACCTAGCTAGCTTTCTCTCCAAGCTAAGTTTAGACTTTCCAAGATCTTCAAAGTTTGTCTCCAAGATTCCACCTTTCCTACCTTTGCGCATCTAGGAGGGTAAGATCTATTTTGCTTTTGTGTTTGTAGTATTTTCTAAGGTGTCTTTTCTTAAAGGTGAAATCTTTATGATCTTTTGGTGTGTTCTTGAAGTGGGTGTGGAAGGTGAACCTTGTTAGGGGCTTTGAGAAGTGTTAAGTGAAGGTTTTTATCTACAAGAGGTAACCCATGCTCTACAAAATCTATTTTGCTTACCTATATGATGATTTATTGGATTCTACATGTGATTTTGCTATGAAATGTGAGTGTTGATGCATTGTCTTGTGAAAATGCATATCTAGAGCTTGTTATTAGGGTTCTTGTATTCCATTGCTTTGCTATTCCCTTGATTCAAGTCATTTTGTTGTGTTTGGTGAGATTTGGCATGTTTTGGACTTGAATTTTAGCTTGGAGTTGAAAATCCCCGAAGGGATTATTTTGTGAAAGGTTTGGTACCCGCGGGCGGAACGGCGGGCAGTGGCCTACCCGCCGCCCCACCCGCGGGGTACACACTCGTGGAAAAGTGGTTCCCGCCGGTGGAACCACGGGTGGGGGTCCACCCGTGGCCCCACCCGCGGGGTACATATGTGGCTTGTGCGGGGATTTGTTCCCCGTGATTCTTTTGACTCGGTATTTGGTCTTTTGACTTCCCGATGTTCTTTTGTGGAACTATTTGAGCGTCTTCTTGATGTTTCGTATGTCTAGAACTATATGGTAGGATTCCATGTAGGTTTTGGTGTCTTGAATCGTGCTAAGTGTTCAACATTGTGATTCGTTGAACCATGATGAGTCTTGTGTGTTCTTCGGAACTATGTTCGGTTTACCCGTTTGATAAGCATGCTAGTTCGGTGTTTAAATGCTAGCGTGTGCGTTGTTTGTCCTTTCCTATTGTGGATGATGACTTGTGTTAATCATCGTTGTTGTCGGATTGTGATCCACTCCTTGATTGAGTATGGTTTCATATCTTCGTTGTGATCCGTTGATTGATTCCTATTGTGGTGTGGTGTGTGTAGCTGTACCTGGATTGCACGATTAATGGTATGGGACATTAGTTACCAAGGTACGACAGTGGTCCTCGTGGTGGCCATGATGTAATTATGGAGGATGTGACCCGAGTGATGGGTTCACGTGTTCTGGAGAGGCATGTGTTTCCATGTGTGTGATTGGTACCCTCGTGTACTGTGAATTGGTGGAATTTCGTTGGTGGTTTGTTGGTGGATGGGGACGACGGTCCTTGGAGGGGAAAGGTTGGACTTGGTGCACAGGGGTCCTGGAGGTAAAGGTTGGAACTAGACAAAAGGTGGGGGGTAGCCAAAAGGTTGGAACCGGGCATAAGGAAGGCATCTCAATTCGTGATGGGTGATGTCACGAAGGCATGTGTTGCCATTGTTGTGTGATTCTCTATTTGTGACATGTGTTGTTACAAAGGCATGTGTTGCCAATGGTTGTGTCGTTATTCTCTTGTGTTATGCATGTCGGGTGTTATTCTACTAGGTGATGGTAGAATACGCCTTGAGCCGTTCTTATGAGTCGTTATTGCTTCTTGTTGTCTTGGGATCTGTTCCCTTATCTCTATTGTGAGTGCATAGAGTCTTGTGTTTGACTTCTGCTCTTGGATTTGAACTTATATATACTATATCCTGTTTCGCAAATGATTTTGTATATATATATATCTTATCTATGTATGATATTTCACATGTATTGGTGGGTTACCAGCATCACTCGCTGACCGGGCGTCGTCCCATATATTTATGTGTTTCTTTCAGGTGCCGAGTAGAGACGAGTGCGGTCTAGAGATGGATAGAGTAGATCCCTTGAACCGTGTAGTTTTTTTGGCCTGTGTGCCTTTGATAGACTTTAGACTTGTTGTCATTGACTTTGTTCTTGGATAGACAGATTATGTTGATGTGATTTACGCCTGTGCGTTCACCGTTGTGTGGGCGTGGCATAACACTCTACGTATTCCATCTATTTCATATTTAGTCTTCCGCTGTGTATGCTTTTATGGTTAGATTATCTGCATGATTAAACTTTAAATTAATATGGAAATCAGGGGTGTTACACATGGTCCATACAAACTCCAAAAGTTCAATACAAAAAACTTCAAGTCATCAAATTTCAAACGAAGTACATGACAATTAAGTTCAACAAGATATCAAATTCAAGTATTCAATCTTCAAGATTTTGTTCTCCCACTTCTCCATCAATCACACGATTTTCATCATCTTCAAACTCAACAACCACTTCCTCTTCTTCACTTTCGGATTCAAAGTTCTCTTCTTCAAGCACCCTCAATCTAGAACTCCTTCGTGGTCTTAATGCTTCATCGCCCTCATTATTAGCCACTGCATCTTCAACAACAACCTCAACTTCATCCCCTCAACAATCCAATCTTGTGCCAAGCTTGCATCACTACCAAGTAATGTTTCAACATTTTGCTCTTTTTTCCTTTTGTTCATCAAGTTTGCATTGAATTGCACAAAGACTAGATTGTTTAGGCGATTAGATTCCAACCTCTTTTTTTTTTTTTTTTTTTTTTTTTTTTTTTTTTTTTGTATGTATCTACAGATATGCAAAAGTGCAAAACAAATGTATCAACTATCATTCCATCAAGTGTGCAAACAAAAATGAAAAATAACTAAGTAAAGACTTAACTAACCCCTTCAAATGTACTCCAATTCCTTTCACAACCCGACGAACTTGAAGTTAGAGATATAATCTTCATAGCAATTGTTTGCAAGTTTGGAGTTGCCAAACCATAAGTTGACCACCACATTGCTACATCAAAATTCAAAATTGTATAAAAGTATAAAACATATGAAGTATAAATATCAAAAGATGTAGTAAAGTAGTAACTTATTTACTCGGATCATATCACTCATTATTAAACTCACATCCTTTGACCGCAAGTGTTTTCCTAAATACACCATCTTTCTTCTTATACTTGGGAAATTCATCATTCAATACTGTGTTTTGCATTTCTATATCACCATGATAGTATGTTTCAAGAAACTCAATGCATCCAAGAGAAACAATTACATCCAAATGAAGTCGAGGATCCTTAAAATGATAATAAGGATTCAACATGTAAGCCATCAAATGAAGAGGAGAATCTAACCTATTGCTCATCTTTTCTTCGACTATCTTAATAATAGGCTCATAGTTTCTTTCTACTGTATTGAATGCCTTCTTAATGTCTTCTTTGGCTTGCATAAGCTCACCATAAACAAATCTCATTGAAGGTCTCTTATCCTGATCAACAATGCGAAGCACCTTCACCAACGGTGCAAAAACATTCAAGCATAATGTAACCCCTTGCCAAAAGGAAGCATTGGTGACAGTAGAATAGGCAGCTTTCCCTTTAACTATTTTGACAAACTTACATTCATCCCATTCATTGCTTGAAAACATAGCCTTTAATTCAATTTTCTTACTACTTATACTCTGCAAAGTAAGAAATGCAGAAGCAAACCTAGTCACACCTGGCCTAATTATGTCACGCTTCTTTGTATAGGATCTCATCATTGCCAAGGTTTTATGGTGTGCATAGATAAAGATAGTCAAACTCTTTGCTTGATCAAGAACTTTTTTAAACCGTGGTAAACCCGCAAGGGATTCAAGTATGAACAATATAAAGATTTAAAGTTAAAGAATAAAGATTAAAGAATAAAGATTTAAAGATAACTGCAATGCTTTCAAGCATTAAATTAATGGAATGAGTTGCACAACAAGTCCAAAATAGCCGTGACCTCTTCTCCTTCAACAATTTAGCAGCTCCCATGTTGTTCGCGGCATTATCTGTGACAATTTGAACAACATTCTCCTCTCCAGCTTGTTCAATGCCCTGCTCCACATATTCAAATATAAACTGACTTGTGTGTGCCTCACTTGAACATTCTTTAGAAGATAAAAAAACAGTGCCTAAACTTGAATTGACACACAAGTTCATGACGCTTCTTCTCTTCCTATCTGTCCATGCATCAGTCATAGTTGAGCATCCATTTAGTTTCCACTCCGCTTTATGCACCTTCAAACTGTCTCGGACTCGATTAACCTCTTTTTTCAAATATGTTTCACTCAATTCATATCTATATGGTGTATGCGCTCCCGGACCGAATTGACCAACAGCTTCAATCATCAACTTGAAGCTATCTTTCTTAATAACATTAAATGGAATAGCTGATTCATAAGCTCATCTGCATATGTACTCTTTCACTCGGTTAACCCTCTCCTTGTCAAATGCCTCAATTATCCGCTGTTGCGCCATGCCCTTTCCTGAACTCAAAGAACTTTCAGGATTGATTTGGTTTGCAAACTTATCCATAGGGCCAATTGGACGAGGTGGCTTGAAATGTCCAAACTGTTGCATGTCTTGCAACTCATCAACATCAATAGTATTTGTAGGTGTATTACTCAAACTCTCATGCGAACCAATGTTTACCTCCCCTCTTATATTAACTTCTTCAGCTCTCTTGTTCTTCTTTTTGTTCTTTGCCATCATGAGAGCATCTCTACATTTTAATTGATCTTCCTTTGAAGCTATGGGGCATTTGCTAACATTCCCTGCTATGCCAACAATATGCTCTTTGATCTGATAAACTCCACCAGACATTACTTTCTTGCACAATAAACATTTAATCTTGTCCATTGACTTAGTAGGATCATTAATTACCTCATAGTCCCAACCTATGTCATTGGACTTTCTTTTTATTGTAGTTGACGTTGTAGATGGTTGAGAAGATCCAACAATCTGACTTTGAGTTTGAATTGGTGCTTGAGAAATATTATTATCATCACTTGCCATACCTAATTATTAAATATTAATAAATTATTAATGGCTAATACATTAGACAATTAGGCATATTATCACAATTCACATATTCACATATTAATATATTATCACTGCCTAAATGCCTAATACAGTAATACAAATTCACATTTCAACAATAATACAAATTCACATGAATCACATATATTATCATTGCCTAAATGCCTAATACAGTATATAAATTCACATATATCAAAATTCAAAAACATAAAATCACAAAACCCTAAATAAGTAAATAGAAATAATGAATAGTGAAATACAAAGTGATTAAGTGATTAACTGATTAAGTATTTAAGTGAAAATTCAAAATTGAAAAATGAAAACAGTGAGAAATTGAAAAATGAAAACAGAAAAGTTATTAAGTCATTAAGTGAGACTACGTACTTGTGGGCTGTGATACTTTGTACGGTGACTGGCGGAGGGCGGCGTCGCAGCGGAGGCATCGGTCGGCGGAGGCGGGAGGCGGAGGGTGCGGCTTTGTCGACGTCCGAAATCGCAGAGACGCAGAGGGAAGGGTTTCGAGGTCGACAAATGAGCTTCACTGCTGCCTTGGCCGAAATCGTGATTTTAATCGCGATTTTTTTTTTTTTGGGTTATTCGCCAAACGACGTCGTTTTGGCGAATAACCCAAAAAAAAAAAAAAGGGGGTTTTGGAAGGTTCGGCCGGCTAGGCGGCGCCTAGACCGCCTAACCGGCCGCCTAGTCGCCCTGCGGCGGAGGAGGCGGATTCCGGCCTTCCTCGCGGCAGCCGGGCGGCGCCTAGGCGCGATTTTCACAACATTGCTTATGCACATAGCTTCTCAACAACTTCTCTTTTCTCACAAATTGGAAATCAAGTATCATGCAACTTCTCAATGCAACTAGATAATGATTTTCCCAAAATAGATATAGATTTTTGAAAGATTACTTTGGCTTACTTAGAGCCGCTAATGCACTTTAGTTCATGATATACTAAACATGCTCTTTTACTATAAAGAAGATCTGAATTCTCTTTGACTATAAGTCAAACAAGCAATGTATTAACTCATGCTCATAATTCAATTCTCGGTAATCTTCTTTGAAAACATTTAATAAATATTGATCATGCTCTTTAAGCTTGAAATACACTTCATAAACTCAACTTATATCTCATGCTTTAGTAATTCACTTCACTGTAATCAAATAAGCTCATGTACTGTACAAACCAAATATTCATATTCTTCACAAAATTCTCAATAACTCACAATGGATATTTAGACATGATATTCAAGCAAAACTTAACAAATAATGATCATGTTTTTCAATCAAATGGCTAAGCTCAAACATTTCGGGGTTGTTTACCAAAATGGAGAAATGGAGAATTTTCCAAAAAAGTAGAAAATTGGAGAAGTAGAAAAATGAAAAATGGAAAAGTTGTTTACTAAATTTCTTTCTCCAAATCCTATTTCTATTTCCTTTCTCAACCTTTCTTAAGAATTTGGAGAAAGGAAAAACCAGGGGTTGTTTACTTCAGTTCTCTGTTTTTCCACTTCCAGTTTTCCATTTCTCCATTTCTCCAGTTTTTCTTCTCTATTCCTCCAGTTTTCCATTCCTCCATTCTTCCAATTTTTCATTTCTCTAATATTGTGATTTTATTAAATACATCATCTTATATTCCATTTGTATATTTATACAACAAAGATAATAATAGTAATCATAATCATAATATCATATCATCATATCATAATTCATAATAATACCAATAACAATAACAATATTAATAACAATAACAACAACAACAATAATATTAATAACAACAATAATAATAGTTATAATAATAATACTAATAAGAAGAAATAATAATAATAATAATAATAATAATAATAATTATTATTATTATTATTATTATAACAATAATAATAATAAGAATTTAATAATTTAATAATAATGATAATAATTAGAATTTAATAATAATAATTATTATTATAACAATAATAATCATCGACTATACTATATATAATAACCAAATCCTGAAATTTTAACATCCCGCCCAATTCCTAAAAAATCTCTCTTCCTAATAAAATATATTGATTTCTAATTACTCATACGTACATTTCTAAAAAATCTCTCTTCCTAATAAAATATATTGATTTCTACACTCCCATCCATAGAATAATTCTGCATTAAACTTCTATTATAATATTATAAAATAGTGTAATACAATTCCTATTGTAATCTATACTATATATAATAACAAAATCCTGAAATTATAACTTCCCACCAACTTCGTAAAAAATCTCTCTTCCTAATAAAATATATTGATTTTTACTTACCCATCCGCACAATAATTCTGAGTTAAAATTCTATTCTAATATTATAAAATAGTGTAATACAATTCCTATTGTATTTTAACTATATATAATAACAAAATCCTGAAATTTTAACTTCCCGCCCAATTCCTAAAAAATCTCTCTTCCAAATAAAATATATTGATTTCTACTTTCCCATCCGTACAATAATTCTGCGTTAAACTTCAATTCTAATATTATAAAATACTGTAATACAATTCCTATTGTAATCTATATCTACACTATATATAATAACAAAATCCTGAAATTTTAACTTCCCACCCAATTCCTAAAAAATCTCTCTTCCTAATAAAATATATTGATTTTAACTATATATAATAACAAAATCCTGAAATTTTAACTTCCTGCCCAATTCCTAAAAAATCTCTCTTTCTAGTAAAATATATTCATTTCTACTTTCCCATCCGTACAATAATTCTGCGTTTAAATTCTATTATAATATTATAAAATAGTGTAATACAATTCATATTGTAATATATACTTCTATACTATATATAATAACAAAATCCTGAAATTTTAACTTCCCGCCCAATTCTTAAAAAATCTCTCACCCTAATAAAATATATTAATTTCTACTTTCCCATCCGCACAATAATACTGCGTTAAAATTCTATTCTAATAATATTAAATAGTGTAATACAATTCCAATTGTAATCTATACTATATATAATCTATACTATATATAATAACAAAATCCAGAAATTTTAACTTCCCGCCCCAATTCCTAAAAAATATCTCTTCCTAATAAAATATATTGATTTCTACTTTCGCATCCGTACAATAATTCTGCGTTAAACTTCTATTCTAATATTATAAAATACTGTAATACAATTCCAATTGTAATCTATACTATATATAATAACAAAATCCTGAAATTTTAACTTTCCACCCAATTCCTAAAAAATATCTCTTCCTAATAAAATATAAATACTGTAATTCAATTCCTTTTGTAATCTATACTATATATAATAACAAAATCCTGAAATTTTAATTTTCCACCCAATTTCTAAAAAATATCTCTTCCTAATAAAATATATTGATTTCTACTTTCCCATCCGCACAATAATTCTGCGTTAAAATTCTATTCTAATATTATAAAATAGTGTAATACAATTCCTATTGTATTTTAACTATTTATAATATCAAAATCCTTAAATTTTAACTTCCAGCCCAATTCCTAAAAAATCTCTCTTCCTAATGAAATATATTGATTTCTACTTTCACATTCGTATAATAATTCTGCGTTAAACTTCTATTCTAATATTATAAAATAGTGTAATACAATTCCTATTGCATTTTAACTATATATAATAACAAAATCATGAAATTTTAACTTCCCGCCCAATTCCTAAAAAATCTCCCTTCCTAATAAAATATATTGATTTCTACTTTCCCATCTGTACATTCCTAAAAAATCTTTCTTCCTAATAAAATATATTGATTTCTACTTTCCCATCCGTACAACAATTCTGCGTTCAACTTTTATTCTAATATTATAAAATACTGTAATACAACTCCTAGTGTAATCTATAATATATATAATAACAAAATCCTGAAATTTTAACTTCACACCCATTTCCTAAAAAATCTTTCTTCCTAATAAAATATATTGATTACTACTTTCCATCCGCACAATAATTCTGCGTTAAAATTCTATTCTAGTATTATAAAATAATGTAATACAATTCCTACTATATTTTAACTATATATAATCCTGAAATTTTAAATTACAGCCCAATTCCTAAAAAACCTCTCTTCCTAATAAAATATATTGATTTCTAATTTCCATCCCCACAATAATTCCGCGTTAAAATTCTATTCTAATATTATAAATTAGTGTAATACAATTCCTATTGTATTTTAACTATATATAATAACAAAATCCTGAAATTTTAATTTCCAGCCCAATTCCTAAAAAATATCTCTTCCTAATAAAATATATTGATTTCTACTTTCCCATCCGCACAATAATTCTGCGTTAAAATTCTATTCTAATATTATAAAATAGTGTAATACAATTCTTATTGTATTTTAACTATATATAATAACAAAATCCTGAAATTTTAACTTTCCGCCCAATTCCTAAAAAATCTCTCTTCCTAATAAAATATATTGATTTCTACTTTCCCATTCGTACAATAATTCTGCGTTAAAATTCTATTCTAATATTATAAAATAGTGTAATACAATTCCTATTGTATTTTAACTATATATAATAACAAAATCCTGAAATTTTAACTCCCCGCCCAATTCCTAAAAAATCTCTCTTCCTAATAAAATATATTGATTTCTAGTTTCCCATCCGTACAATAATTCTGCGTTAAAATACTATTCTAATATTATAAAATAGTGTAATACAATTCCAATTGTAATTTATATCTATACTATATATAATAACAAAATCCTGAAATTTTAACTTTCTGCCTAATTCCTAAAAAATCTCTCTTTCCTAATAAAATATATTGATTTCTACTTTCCCGTTCGTACAATAATTCTGTTTCAAACTTCTATTCTAATATTATAAAATAGTGTAATACAATTTCTATTGTAATCTATATTATATTTATATATAATAATAAAATCCCAAAATTTTAACATCTCCGCCAAATTTCTACAAAATCTCTCATCCTAATAAAATATATTGATTTT